CCAAGGTCACCCAGCTGGCTTTGTGCCTAGGTGGGACTAGAACTCACAGTCTCCCGGTTTCTAGCCTGATGCCTTAACCATTACACCAAACTGGCTCTCAGTCTGAATAAATACATATATAATACATACATAAATAAATGCATAAATAAATAGAGCTAAAAAAATGAGTAGTAGGCGCCACTGAAATGTAAGGAAAAAGCACCCCAAAGAGCAGGTGACTGTTTCCTTGGTTGTGGCTCTTCTTCCTGTTCCTCAAGGTTATTCCTTCTTCCCATTACAGGAGGAGGGGAAGGGGAGGCACCCGGGAGCAGCACTCCTGTTGCTGGGGACACCACCAGTGCTGGACCAGTGACCCCATTCTGGCTTTTACAGAACCAGCAAGTTCCCAGGGCAGTGCTGACAGGGGACCACAGGGGTGTTGTACCCTGTTACTATCTCCTTAATTCAAATGTGTATTTTCTTGGGACTGCACAGCTACCACACAAGTCCAGCGATTGTGCCCACCGCATGCCTCTCTCTTTTTTTCTCTTCGGATCCAAGTAGCTGCATGTCCCTTTCACCACCCTTAACTGTTGTCAGCTGGCAAACGCATTCATATTTTCAAACAGATAAGATTTTAAATATATGCACTTGTAGTTCCTGTTACTTTGAAAAATAATTACTTCCAGGTAAATGTATATCGAATGATAGCCTAAGTGACTGCTTTATCCTCTTTATATGACCATTGGGTCGCAAAGGGGTGGCATGTTAAATGAGCAGGAAAACTGGGTCAACTGACTTAGCCTATTAACACTAAAGTGGTTAGATTGAGCCCCAAACAGCCCCAAGTTTCTTTCCTTGGCCAGTCATGTTGACTGAATAGCGGACTTGAGGTTACCTCATCTTTTTCCTCTCTGCAGCAGAAATACTGGCCTGGAAAGGCCCCATGGTGCTGGGGTCTCTCTGGAGCTGTCTGCCTGGCTCTTTTCGCGCTTCCTCTATAACCATATAAAGTGGTGGAAAGGGAGCAGAAACAGATGAAGATGGATGCAGACACCCAACTTTGCCCACAATGATTTCCAACTTCAATGGTGGTTTCCCTTTTTTCCTTTTCAGCTGGTTGGAATGCTGGAGATGTGGGACAAGGAAGTGAAAACCTTCAAGCCGGTAGAAAAACTAAGACATGAAAAACTAAGGTATGACTGCCCTTCTCATCCCAGTTTGCATGCTGCCTGCACAGAGATGCTTGGGAAGGGACTGCATTGCTGTGTCATGCAAACAGTGCCTTTAACTTTATAGAGAAATCACACAGGGAAGGGGTGCTACAAGAAAGATGAATTGATGTTAAGTAAATAGTTTGAATGGGTAGTTTTCCTTCTCTCTGGAAAAGAATTCTAGGCTGTTGAGGTTTGCAGACACAAAAATTATATACAGTAAATATAGGACCATTTGTCCAAATTGGGAATCTCATTCTCCCACCTTAAAATAGCAACCAGTCCGCTTTCAGGGAATGAGATTCCAAGGCTGCTTCAGCAAAGACAGAAAATGAGACCACCCTGAAGCAGGTTCTGAGCAGAGCACACAAAAAGGCATCTTATTTAATGGGAATACAGTGCCATTTCCAATCAACAGGGACAGGAGTATGGGCCATATCATTTCAAAAGATGTTGTTTAACCTGTTGATACCAAACTGCAAACCATATACAAGAAATTCTGTCCACTCAGAACAAGCAGGTTTCTGAGAATATAATATCTGGTTCACTGCATCCCCAATGAGATGCCCATAAAATATCCCAAAGAGCTTGCTGATGAGAAGGTACCATATGACTTATTTCACCAAGAAGCTCCCAATAGCCCTGAGGCTGTGATCACCACATCCCAGTACTCAGTAATACCCAGTATTATTTGATACCAAACAACAGCTACTTCAGGAAAAGAATGCCTTTTTTCAAACAAAGCAGCAATAGCGTATGCCTTTCAAGTTCATAGGAAGCCTGATGAAAGGACCCACAGATGCCTTTCTGTTGCCAAAAGAAACATTAATCAATATGTGTTTCATGTAGCAGTCACATCCTGAACTGTTACATTATCACATGAGATTCACAATGTGTCTGATGATTTGAACTCCTGACAATAGACTCAATAGTTTCAAAGTATTCTGAGGTTCTTGATGCCTAAGAAATCAGTCTTCTCTGTTTGAGTGAAGATGAGTGCATTTTTGCCTGGAATGGCATTCGTGTTTTTTTTTTTTCTGACTATGTCTCATTTGCAAATCAGGTTATGCAGCAGTTTGCTAAAGAGTTGTGTAGCCTAGTGGCAGGCTTGAAGCCTATTTCTTCCCAACCTAGTAGTCTAGACTATCAAGGGAATGCTTAAAAAGACATCACTATAGACTCCCATTTCTCCCTGCTGCTCATAAAAATGCCCCTGTCATTACCTTCCATTTGCTTTGGCCCCATTGTTAATAGGATGACTTTTGGGTAGCATGCAATTATCTCTAGGCCTGTGGGTGCCTTGAAAATGAAGGAGAAGAAGCAGTTCAGAGCTGAACAAATATATTGCTGCTGTTAGGTGCTGTTTTATAGATAATATAAGTAACAGCAACTTTTTTTCAGGCACACCCAGAAACCTGAAAAAGACTGGCCGTGTTAATGAATAGCTGAGAAGAGTTGCACTTGGGTGAGGTTTGGAACTCTTCTTCCTGATCCCTCTTGAAGCATGCGGAGCTCTACCATGTTAATTCAAACAGAGTTCCTGCACTATTTATAGTGGTGCTTCCAATTGTGAGAAAAACCCCACAAGAAGAAGGAATGGCCTCCTTGGCAAGTCTCCTTTTGGTTCATATACAGATGTGCAATGGCTTCCAAAGAAAGGAGCGAAAAAGCAGGCACAATGAAAGCACCTATTAGAGATTTTTAAGAAGGAACATTTGCAAAAGGCCTGTTCATCTCTGATCCTGCCATCTTCAGATGGAGTGCAAGATTTCCCCAAAACCAGTCCTCGGAGTGCCTTAGAACTCTATCCTCTAGTTGATTTTCCAAAGGCAGGGACCCAAGAAACAATCAGTCAAACTAGAAGCGATCATTCGGTATATTGCCCTTCTAAGTTCTGGGGTTTTGTTCCCAAGAGGTAGTGGTAAAGGTTTGTTCCTAGCAAAGGATTGTATGTTTTAACATATTTGTTTGTTTTTTGCATATACAAGCCAAGAGGAAGCTCTTTGCCTGGAACTAAGATATTACACTAACCATTTCCAGAGGACAGGTGCATTGGCCACCAACTGTAGCCATATTCATATACTTACTTTATTGTATCTTGATGTGGAGCTGGCAAGAAATCATACCAACCTAAATCTTGCTGCCCCACAGTATGTCCTTACCAAGATAGGTTTGTGCTGCACTGATGTCCATAATGCACAACATTCTGAGGACCATGATTGGTGGATTTGTCAGTAGGAATTCCAGTCCTGCCCAATGTCATCTACCACAGGGAAGACCTCTTCCAATTGGTATGCACAATGCTCTGGTTATTCCATGCACTGAGGACTTTTTAATTTTTTTCTTTCCCATTCTTTCCCAACTGACTGAATTTTTAAAAATTTCATTTAACTATGGTTTGACCAGTCTGTTGTTTGACTGGTCAGCCATGAGATAACAGCAAAAACTAGATGTTTTGGAATGTTTTGGCTGCCATCTAGTGATCATCTAGATTTGTGCACTGAGATGCAGTTGCCAGTTAGTATCACAATTAGTATATCCAGCATAGGTTCTGTATGTGAAGTGAAAATTCTTCAGAGAAGGAGTTAGTGGATGAGCTATCAATCCCAGGCACTGTTGCTGAAGCAATACACATTTGCAAACTCGGTCCTAAGAAATACATTACAAAATTAAGTACAGGAGAAATTTGCTCCAGCACATTATAGCAGAACCCTCAACCTGGCTAGCCCATCACTGGTTTAACACGTGTAGTTGAAAGTGTACAGCTCTTGAAAAGACTCAGGTGTTGTACTTCTGTAAGCTTCTGTGGCAGGACACTGCTCCCAGTGGCCACTACTCATAGGAAAGCCCTGGCTCCTCACTTCCTCTCTTCAACTTATGTTCTTATGATAGTTTACAGCTCCCACACCAATCCCTGCAACTCCCCTTTCTCAAACCCTAGCACTTCAACACTTGTTGAAGTTCACCTTGGCTGTACAATTCCAGATGACCATGAGATGGCAGTGAAGAGTTTCAAAAAATGCTAATGCTTTGCTGCCACCCCATGGTTGAATGGTCAGATGGTCAACCCCTAACTATAAGGTTCACTGAATCAGTAGTATAATGAGAAAGAAAAAAAAAAATCAGTGCATGGAATAACCAGAGCGTTTTGCATGCCAATTGGAGGAAGCTTTTCACATAGTAGATTACATTGGGCAGGCCTGGAATTTCAGCTGGTGGAGGGCACCAATCACAGCTCTCAGAATGTTATGTGTGAACAGTGTGTAAAGCTGTGTGAACAGGAGTCCAGCATGGACATTCTAGATACACACTAAGGGAGCAGCAAGATTTAGAGCAGCACAATTTCCTCCCAGCTCTGGAATAGAAGGGGAGCAAGGCTGTGTGGATGTGGCCTTCAAGAGCTATGCCTAAATTGTGATAGGAGTTTTCCAGCTTCTGTGAGTAGATGTAATTTTTTCCATGATCAATTATGAACTTTTTATTTGTGTAGCAGCCTAAGCTGCCATGTTGATTTGTTGACATGTGATTATCTTTCATTTTAACAAGTTCTTCAAGTTCCCTGATTCCTGCTGTTTCTTGGATGAAAATAAATCAAGGGAAGATCATCTCATAGAGAGAACCCATAGAACTAAGGAAGAAAATATCACATTGTCTTCTGTCTTTCTATATGCTTTATTCATTTTGCCAAATGACAAAACAATGGAACAAAGTTGGGACAGAGCAGATTGGAAGCATTAAATATTATACGGTTTGTATTTGTGCTTTGGAGTGCAAATAAAAAAGCTCTTTCTCTCTCTCTCTCTCTCCCCCCTCTCTCTCCCTCTTTGTCCCTCCCTTGCTATTTTAGTGCTTTGTTTTCTTCAAACTCCAATATGGATCAATACCACAGCAAAGATGCATTACAATGTGGTTGTTCTTAGGGCAAAGTTGAGAAACTTCTGCATGTTCAACTCCTTATTACAGACATGCAAATAGGCAAATTTAATGAAAGGAAGGGGAGTTTCTATAATTCTTCTGTTTCACCTGCCGGTGGTACATTCACCTCAATGTTGTACTCAGTTGGTTCTCCTGACCCCAGCCAGGGTACTGGGGTCCTGTTAAAGGAGGGTCGATTGGTGCCTTCTTGATTATACAAAATAACAGGTTCAGGTACCAAAGGGCCAACATCAAATTCAGGCATTTGGAAGGTCATCAGTTTGGCTGCCTTCTCATATCCCCCATAAGGCATTGCAGTCCTAGGGAAAAGTAGAATCAACCATCAGGATTTATAGACACGATAGCCTTTTCCTGCCAACTCAGTAGATCAGCAGATCTTAGCTATAGATGTTCCTCTGACAAAAGCAATTGATCCAGACCTGTATTAATATCTATTCTTAGTTCTATTTCCCAAGCAGCTAGGGAAAATGCTTGCTTGTACTCTGCAGAACGCTAGAAGAATCAATTGAGTGTACAAAATAGAGTGGAGTGGAGATACTGCAGGCAGAGAAGGAATAAATTTCAGGTCTATTCCTTTCTTACAAAACAAAGCACATTTCAGAGAATCCAAATAAATAAATAAATAAATAAATGCTAGGCAAAATCTTCTGTTATAAATGTGGAAATGTATAGAAATATATTAAGAAAATAATCGGGCATATGTAACATTTATATATCATTTGCAGATTGTATATGGCACATTAAATACTAAGAAAATTATTTAAAAGCAGGATGCAGCTGACTCAAAAAAATGTATCAACTACTCAGACCTAATGCTGGTTCAGTGTAAAAAAAAAAGTTAGTCAGCACAAGTATGTATCAGTTTGTAGCCTGGCAATTTTATTTTTGAATATCAGTAATGTTTGGAATCTATCACTTTGTGTAGTATCATGTGATGGTGCCCATCTGTTAAAAAGACTTTTGATTCCTTATCTAGTTAATAAATAAGAGCATTCTAAAGGCTCCATTAGACCAGACCCATTAAATACTACTACTACTACTGTTGTTGTTGTTGTTGTTATAATATTAATGAAACAAAGAAAACATAGTGATGAAACCCAAGCAAGATTGCTTCTGTATTAGTAATTCTCTCTTTACAAGAATTCGAGAAATATACCTGACAATTCATTACATTCCAGTGTACTCTGTTATCCTAATGCTATTTTTCCTAGACCCCAAAAATTGTGTCCTCCCCTCCATTTAAAATATAATTGTGGCATTCACGTATCAGCATGATGTGACCAAGCATAGAATAGTTTCAGGATTACTGTATCTTTAATTAAAACTGTCCTCATTGCACCTTCTGCCTCTGATTGCTTCCTAGCTCTGGTGAGGAATTGGCACATAATTACACCTTAATATTGAAACCAAATTAGAGGAAGGCAAGCATTAAGGCTCTTATGTAAAACAAGATTTCAATGGTTATGCAGCAATTTATTGTTCATGCTTCACTATGCTGAATAATAATAATAATAATAATAATAATAATAATAATAATAATA